GAGAGAGAGAGAGAGAGAGAGAGAGAGAGAGAGAGAATCCCAAGCAGGCTCTGCACAGTGCAGAGCCCAAATTCACGCACATGGTAAGATCATGACCTGAACTGAAACCAAGAGTCAGGCGCTTAACCAACTGAACCACCCAGGTGCCCCCAGAGAACTTGTTCTAACCCCTAACATGAAGGAATAACTTATGATTAGTCAAAATTATTCATAGTAATTCTCTTTCCCTTTACCAGTTACTGGTCTAGGGGTAGACATGCAACTTAATAAGGCCAATGAAATATAAAGGAAAATCTTAGAGTAGCAAGTCTGAGGTATTCTATTCTTATATAATAAAACAGAACCATAAGAGGAAAAATCCCCTTTGTTCTCAAATCTCTTCCTTTAAAAGGATGCTGGGAGCTACAATAGCTATCTCATGAGCCTCAGGTATAAGCACAAAAAATTAATAAAGAACAATTGAAGCAGGCTATGTACTTAATGAAAAACAGTGAGCTGCTGAATGACATCTGATTAAGTCAACAATTAATGTCCTTATGCTTAAAGTCACAGTTACCTGATTTTCTGTTATGTTCAGTTGTGTTTGAATACACCATGTAAATAGATGTAAAAAAAACTTTTTAAAAATAATATTCTAAAGTAACATAGATTAAAATCTACTTCTAGTATTTCTTACATTTCACTTTTTTTTTCCTCCTCAGAAATACACTTGGAAGAGCAAACAAAAGCCTCAACTGATTTAATAAAGGACTCTGACACTAATGTCTCAAAGAATTTTGTGGTTAGAAAACCTGCCAAAGTGATTTTCAACTTAGATCCAGATGTACTGAATTCAAAGCTAGAACAGCCATGGAAGAAAAATTTTTACGAAAGAGTGGAGGCAAGAGCCCAGGCAATGCAGCAGAAAATAATAAATAAGGATAATCTGAAGAAAGAACTAGAAAAAAAGGCTGAAAAAAAATTCCCTAGGAATAATTTGGCCAAAGAGTGGTTTAATACTGAAAACATGACACTTAAAACTCGTGCATATTTGCTTGACAAACTTCTACCCACCTTAGTTCCTGGAGTGGAAAAAATGTTAATGCAAGTGGAAAAGAAGAAACTTTGGGCAGAAGCTGATATTACAACCAAGTTTGATCCAATTAATCATTTGGGGGAATATTTAATGAGAAACAATCCTTATTATATCAAAGACTCAGGAATGTCTGGTTATCAGAGGGTGATGAGGGATGTCACGGAAGAACTGAAGATACATGTTCCCAATACTATTGGCAACAGGTACAGTTTGATATATGTAATTTTTTTTTTTGAGAGAGAGAGAGCAAGCATGAGAAGGGGGGGGCAGAGAGAGAGAGAAGGGGACAGAGAAAGCGCAGAGAAAGGCGCGGACAGCAGAAAGCCCAATGTGGGGTTTGAACTTACAAACCATGAGATCATAACCTGAGCTGAAGTCAGTTGCTTAACTGAGCCACCCAGGCTCCCCATAATTTGTTATATTTTCAGTTGATGATCTAGGTCCTTTCATTGAAAGGAAGTAGAATAATAACATAATCATACAAATAGGACTTAAATATTCAAAAAGTATTTATTGAGCTGCTAGTATGTGCTTCACTATTTATGAGGCACTATGAAGATTAATGAAGCATATTAAATAAATTCCTTGAATTTGCGGATTTAGTTATCTTACTATGATCCAAAGTATATATTTATTTGTTTACCATCTGTCTCCCTGCACTGGAAAGTAAGTTACAGGAGAGCAGGGACTTCTTAAAAATTTAACTTTTCAGATAGGCAGCATATTCACCTGGTTTAAATTCAAAATGTATTAATAGTTATACAGTGAAAAGTTTCTCATCCATTCTTATCCTCCTTGTACCCAATACTCCACCTCTGCCATAAATAACTAGTGTTCTTCATTTTCAGTGGATTCTTTTCCAGTTTCTTTATACATACAGAAGCAAATGCAAATTTGGATTCTAAATTTTCTTCCTTTATATAAGAGCATCTGAGTTACAAATACTTTCTTCTGTTTTTATTTATCTTTTGTCATGCGGAAGATATTATTTCTATGTGGTTGAATTTATTTACTTTCATTTTATGACTTAGAGTCATTGTTACATTTCAAGATATTAAAAGAATCCTCCCATGTTTTCTTCTGGAGTTTTAATATTTTAGTTTCCATTTTAAGTATTGATCCATATGGAATTTATCCTAATATAAGATGTAGATATGAATCCAACTTTTTGCTTTTCCAAATGGTTACATAGTGATCCCAACAACTGTCGAATAGTGTATTTTGCCCCACTGTTTTGAGATGAAATTTTATTACTAAATTCCTGCATATTTTGGCGTGTATTTCTGGGTTTTTCTATCCTATCCCTCTGACTATCTCCCTGTTCATGCACCACACCACACTGCTTGAATCATTGAGACTTTTAAGTATACAGACAGCCCCCAATTTACACTTAGGATTTTTTGACTTTACAATGGTGCGTAAGTGGTATGTGTTCAGTAGAAACTGTACTTGGAATTTTGAATTTTGATCTTTTCCTGGACTAGCAATATGCAGTATGATGCTCTCTCATGATGCTGGGCAATAGCACTGAGCCACAACTCCCAGTCAGCCATGTAACCATGATACCCTTCATGGTATCATACACTTACATACATTACATACATATACATCATAGACTTAACATACGTTACATACACACATATCATACACTTACATACATTACATTACATGCATTACATACATACACTTATAACCATTCTGTACCCATACAACCATTCTGTTACTCGCTTTCAGTACAGTATTCAATCAATTACATGAGATAATGAATATGTTTTTAAAGTTTATTTATTTTGAGAGAGAGAGAGCATGAGCAGGGGAGGGGCAGAGAAAGAGACAGAGAGAGAAAGAGAATCCTAAGTAGGCTGTGCACTGACAGTGTGGGGCTCGAACTCACAAACTGCAGATCATGACCTGAGCCAAAAACAAGAGTTAGACACCCAACTGACTGAGTCACCCAGGTGCCCCAAGATATTCAACACTTTATGAGATAGGCTTTGTGTTAGATGATTTTGCCCAAGTGTAGACTAATGTAAGTGTTCTGAGCACATTTAAGGTGGGCTTAGGCTAAGCTGTGATGGTGGGTAGTTTAGGTGTATTAAATGCATTTTCAATTTAGGATATTTTCAACTTATGATGGGTTTATGTGACAAAACCTTATCATAAGTCAAGGAAGATCTGTATTTCAATAAATCTGACTGTGCTGGTCCTTATTATTTATTCTTCTTTTATTCTAGTGTTTTTACTTAAAAAAAATTTTTTTTAATGTTTATTTTTGAGACAGAGACAGAGTATGAATGGGGGGGGGGGGCAGAGAGAGAGGGAGACACAGAATCCAAAGCAGGCTCCAGGCTCTGAGCTGTCAGCACAGAGCCTGACATGGGGCTTGAACCCACGAGCTGTGAGATCATGACCTGAGCCAAAGTCAGACGTTCAACCGACTGAGCCACCCAAGCGCCCCTCTAGTGTTTTTACTTTTCAATATGAACTTTAGGGTTGATTCACCTACTTGAAAAAAAAAAAAAGAACAGAAAAACAAACCTTATAGGAATGTTTATTGAAATGTTTAAATTTATTTTTTAACTTAGGGGAAATCAATGTCTTTAATAATGATGTGTTTCTGAAAACACATGTCTTTTCATTTGCTCATCTTATTTTGTATCTATCATTGTTGTCTTAAAGTTTTGGTTTTCTTCATTTAGGCTTACATCTCTTGTTAAATTTATTACTAGTTATTTTATTATTTTTTATTCCCATTGTAAATGGGAATTTTTTATTTTATTACATTTTCTATTTATATGTAGTTTCTATTTATATCTATTAAATTCTGTATATTTTTATACACTACTACCTTACTGAGTGTAACTGTTTATAGAATAATTTTAGTTGATTATTTGGGTTTTCTAGTGAGGCAACCATATTATCTGCAAATAATAGGAGTTTTCCTTCTTTTCCAATTTTTATACTTGTATACATTTAATATCTTCCTCTTAGCTTGTTATGTTGGCTATTATTTTCAATACAATGTTAAATAATTGTGATGATATGGGCATCCTTGTCTTGTTTATGACTTTGGTAAGGATGATTTTTATATCAGTACCTCACCATGAACAGTTTTTTTTGTTTTTTTGTTTTTTTTTTTTTTTTAACGTTTATTTATTTTTTTGGGACAGAGAGACACAGAGCATGAACGGGGGAGGGGCAGAGAGAGAGGGAGACACAGAATCAGAAACAGGCTCCAGGCTCTGAGCCATCAGCCCAGAGCCTGACGCGGGGCTCGAACTCACGGACCGCGAGATCGTGACCTGGCTGAAGTCGGACGCTTAACCGACTGCGCCACCCAGGCGCCCCCAGTTTTTTAAAACTATATATTAATGTCATAACTCTACTCCATTTGGATCCAAAAAAGCTATATTTTATTACATTAGAAAAGTGTGCCTAATTCCTACATTATAGAGTGATTTTTTTATTTTATTTTATTTTTATTTTATTATTTATAAGTGTATCTACCTCCCCTCTGGTAACTATTAATTTGTTCTCTATAGTTAAGAGTCTGTTTCTTGGTTTGTCTCTCTCTCTCTCTCTTTTTTCTTTGCTTATTTTTCTCTTAAATTCCACATATGAGTGAGATCATATGGAATATGTCCTTCTCCCACTGACTTATTTTGCTTAGCACTATACTCTCTAGCTCTATCAACATCATTGCAAATGGCAAGATTTCGTTCTTTTTATGGCTGAAGAATATTTCGTTCTATATATATAACACATCTTCTTTATCCATTCATCAATTGATGGATGCTTGGGCTGCTTCCATAATTTGGCTATTGCAAATAATACCGCAATAGACATTGGGGTGCATGTATCCCTTTGAATTAGGGTTTCTGTATTCTTTGGGTAAATACTCAGTAGTGTAATTTGTGGGTTGTAGGGTAGTTCTATCTCTCACTTTTTGAGGAACCTCTATACTGTTTTCTACAGTGGCTGCACTAGTTTGCATTCCCACCAACAGTGCACACAGGTTCCCTTTTCTCCATATCCTCATTGTTTCCATATCCTGTTGTTTCTGGTGTTGTTAATTTTAGCCATTGTGACAGGTGTGAGGTGATATCTCATTGTAGTTTTAATTTGCATTTCCGTGATGATGAGTGATGGTGAGCATCTTTTCTTGTGTCTGTTGGCCATCTAGATATCTTCTTTGGAGAAATGTCTGGTCACGTCTTCTGCCCATTTTTTAATTGTATTATTTATTTTTTAGGTGTTGAGTTTTATAAGTTCTTTATGTATTTTGGATATTAACTCTTTATTGGATATGTCACTTGCAAATATCTTCTCCCATTCCATAGGTTGCCTTTTAGTTTTGTTGATTGTTTCCTTTGTTGTGTAGAAGCTTTTTTAGTGTATTTTTTGTTGTTGTTGTTTCCCGTGCCTCAGGAGACATATCTAGAAAGAAGTTGCTACAGTTGATGTCAAAGAAGTTATGGCCTGTGTTCTCTTCTAGGATTTTTATGGTTTCCAGGTCTCACATTTAGGGTTTAAATCCATTTTGAATTTATTTTTGTGCGTGGTGTAAGAAAGCGGTCCAGTTTCATTCTTTTGCATGTTGCTGTCTAGTTTTCCCAACACCATTTGTTGAAAAGACAGTCTTGTTCTCATTGGATATTCTTTAACTCCTTTTTAAACGTTTGGTAGAATTAACCTGTGACGCCATTTAGTTCTGGACTTTTGTTTTGGGAGAGTTTTTTGATTACTGATTCAATTTCATTACTGGTGATTGGTCTGTTCAATTTTTCCATTTCTTCCTGCTTTGGTTTTGGTAAGTTTTATGTTTCTAGGAATTTATCCATTTCTTCCAAGTTGTCTAATTTGTTGACAAATAGGTTTTCATAATATTCTGTTAGAATTGTTTGTATTTCTGTGGTGTTGGTTGTTATTTCTCCTCTTTCATTAGTAATTTTGTTTATTTGTGTCCTCTCTTTTTAAAATGAGAGGAGTATCAATTTTGTTGACATCTTCTTTTTTTATTATGAAAATCTCTGTGGGTTTATCTATTTTATTGTTATTTTTAAAATTAAAAACATTTTTTTGATTTCAAGAATAGAATTTAGTTATTCATCACTTTATATAACACCTAATGCTTACCCCAACAAGTGGCCCTCTTAATGCCCATCACCCATTTAGCCTACCCGCGCACCCAATATGCCTCCAG